TCATCATGAAGACATGCCAAACTTTTCAACAGTTCCTCCAAACACCTCTGGAATGTCCTCTGCTAACATAACAACCCGATCAAGAGGGCTTATAAAACCTCCCAAAAAACTCAACCTGTAAAGAGGGAGATGTAATGGTTGGCTATACAGCTCTACTGACTATTGTCATTTAGTTTTATATTATCATGTGTTAATTGTTATTGTTTACTTCTAGTTGATTTGTACTAATAAAAATACTTTTACCTAAATTATTCTATCATGATAAATTCTGATTTTTATGAGTTTAATACACATTTATTCCCTATTTAAATAGAATTAGTTTAACAAGTACTTAGGTTTGCTGCATCAGGGAGGGTAAAACTGTTTTTTTTTTTGGAAAATGTTAATAGTTAGTAAGAAATAAAAACATTACTACCAAATTTGATCAAAATATGTTCATAAACAAGCAAACTGCAACAGTTTACTTATTCTCCATAAGAATAACATGGGAATTTTAAATTTACAATTTTTTGGAATTTTCTCCGTAACCATTAGGCGCATAATAACGCTTCAATATACTAAATTATTTGTTTTTTTAAGCTCTACAAAATGGTTTGGAAAGAAATTGCTAAGTTTTATGTTTTTTGGGTCAAAAATGGGAAAAACCTATTTTTACCCCATAAAACCCCCCGTAAACCCCCGTTCCCATGGTCCGATCATGCTGGATCGCGAACTCGTTCGAATAAACGTAGGTTTACACGTTTGTACCAAATTTCATCAAAATCGGATCATTTTTGCTCGAGTTATCGTGCTAACGGACATATATATATATATGAATTTGAACGGATGGTGTTTTTGGCCTCTAGGGACCTCAAAACGAGAAAAAAAATCGGTCCCGCGTCCAGGTCTTACCATGAGTACTACGGTAATAGCTTATTCCCTATATGGGAAATTCGCTAAAATTGAATTTGAACCTATTATAGTTTTATTTTATGAACAGAACTATTTTTTCAATTAAGTCTTCATTCGATATTTCATCATCAGCAAGTCTAATGATTCAAATGATTTTGTTGGCCATTCAGTTACATACAAACAATGGGCTACGTCAAACAAATAATAAATAATAAATAAACATGCCAAACTTCTTCTTGCACTCTTGACTAACAAGATTAAAGGCTGAAATGAACACATGCAGGAGCTCACTCATTACAAAACATGCAAAGCAATGCATGCATACTAAAAATGAAAAAAATAAAAACTACATGCTGCAAGCCATGCAAGGCAGAGAAAAATAAGAAATACCGGCGCATCAGCATAGCCTAACTGTTCGCGGAAAATTGTTATCTCTATCACTGTCGATGTCAAAACGTATTGTTTGCAGGTTAAACTTAAATTAAATATAATTAAACTATCATAACCTAACCAAACTTGCTGGTAATGAAAACCTCGAATGAAGGTTTACTAATAAAAAAAAAATAGTTCTGTTCTAAAAATAAAATTATAAATATCTCAAATTCTATTTTATAACTATCATAACCTAACCAAACCAACCAAGCTTGCTGATATGAAAAAATTGTTGACAAAAAGTTAGTGCCACCAGCGGGATTTGAACCCGGCACCATCAGATTATCAGCCCGACACGCTATCCACTACACCACCAAGGCTCACGACTAAACTCCGTATCGTCGCGGTAATGGTTGACGTTATGCCATCGGCATGGAGCGGTGGTGGGGGGTTTTCCGATCTGATCCACGATCCTCGGAGTTGCACTGGCTGCCTAGATGCTTATGGAGGTAGCACTGAATGTCAAAGATGTGTGTCGCCAGCCGCCATGTTTGCGTGAGGTGGGAGTTGGCGCGAAATTTAAAATTGCATGCTAATAAATGGGCTGATAGCTCATGTTCAACCTTCGAGTTCTTACTTGAAAAAAGATAAATAAGTTAAATGCGTTTTGTGGTGATAACATTTCTGTTAATACTAGTCTTTATTTATAATTACCTGACATAGCCGAAAATTCAGAGATAGGTAGGCCCTACATGATAATTGCATTTGAAAATCTACACTGTGAGTAGGTTTTCATTGCATATTCTGTTCTTGGGACCCAAAATTCTAAACATATTTATAATCAAGCTTCTAGTATGGCAAGAATTCCTTTGTTTTAAAAATATCATAGCCTATCAAGGATAAGCATTTAAAAAAAAAAAGGTTACAAGCCCAGTCTACAAAATATGAACTTAATCATTTTATTTGCAGCAGTTCACAAATGTTATTATTAAAACAAAATAAACAATTAGCCTACGAAAATAGATATTTTTCATAAACTGTAAAAGATTTAGATGTAGCTTACCATCTTTTTACAAACAAATAAACAACTATTAAATAAGACTCGGTCAAGGACCGAAAGTTGGTCCTTGAAGGTCAAGTCCTTGCTGGCATTGCCCTATGCAGTGCTCCTTGGCGGCGGGGGTGGGATATCCCACCTTCTCGGCCGCTTTGGGGTCTGCTGAGTCTGATGCTGCTGCGGTGGACCTGAAACTCTGCGCATAGGAGAAATACCGGAACCCTCTCCTGCAGCAGGACTAGGAGTTTCAGCCTGCCTTTTCCTCTTGGGCTTGTTGACAAACCCTTTGGATTTTTTGTTCTCAGCTGTTAAGATTCAATAATTCCATTTCTCATAAGGTTAACATGGGAAACTCCAGAGCCACTGGGGCGGAGCCCGAAAGGATTTTTGAAATAAGAATATGCCTATATGTTAATCGGGAATGTGAGCTATCATCATGCCAAATTTCAGCCCAATCCGACCAGTATTTTTCGAGTTTACTTTTCCCATACACACATACCACACATACAGCAACCACCTCTTTTTTATAATAGTATATAGATAGATAACAACATATCTTTCATTTGCATAAAAATAAAGACGGGATCTTGGGCACGAGTCTTTCACCAGGAACAGCTGTTATCTAGAAGTTATTTGTCAAAATGTAACAAATGGATGGTGCTGCCACCTAGCAAAGGTCCATAGTACTAACATTTAAAGTTTCCAGATGCATAGCGCTAGTACTCTCGTTTATAGCGGCTTCATTGGCAACAAATAATGCAAATTGCATAGCAATGGGACATTTCCAAAAAGCAAAAATACCGTAAATTGGCTGTTGTACGTATATATTGATGTTTACATATTGTTAATCAACGTCTTATAAAGGATTTTGTGATCTAGTTTAAAAGGAAGGAGTTTAAAATGAGGTCCCGGGTACTATCCCCACCAAGTCACCAATGGATTTTATCTAAGTGATAATGCCGCAACCCCTAGGTCTAGCCTTAAGTAATGTGGAAAACAATCCCAGGCTTGTGCCTAGCGTCCTAGGACAAAAAAAAAGTTTAAAAGGAATATGACCTTTCTGTCATGACAGTAGCTCAGCTTTTGAAAGCCAAGTACCCTCGGCCTCCTTCCTTGCCCTGACCTGTGTCCTCCACACACTAGGGGGTAAAGATGGCCGTTGTCTTCTCTCCTGTTCTGGAACAGTTGCACATGCCTGGGTCTTTACGCTCAGATCCGGTGTTGCCACCTCAGAGGTAGAGCCCAGGGTTAGATTTGAATGGGCGCTTGAGTCAGCCACACTATCCGCCAAAGCCCTGTGTGCTTCCTCAAGCATTTGAACGTCGTTGATACCAAAATTTGGTGGAGATCTTGCAATGAGGGAGCTCCTGGCGAAAGCCTCTTTGCCCCCCTCCACCCTCATCTCTGAAACATTGTCTGTTAATTTGCCCTCCCCAGAATCCATGGGCAAGCCCTCCATGATGGAGGGGTGGGATTCACGCCTAGGCGCTGACCCACCTGGGGTAGTTTCCGTCGTTTGATTAGCAGACATCATAGCTTCTGAAACATACCAAGTTAGCAGTTTGAAGACCGTACCGTGTTCCATACACTCCGCTCATCAATCATGTAATACCTTCATCATGTAATACCTTCTCCAGCACCGCTACACACATACCAGAACTGGAGGGCAGTGCAGCAGCCTTACCGTGATCCATTCACTCCACCTGCTGCTCAATTGACATTGAGCCCGGACCGGTGTCCATCACCTCGGCCTCAGGTCATACTAGTGTCGCTGCTCCCCGACCCTAGGGCAGACATTCACTCTTCCCACATAGATCCGCTGCCTTTAGTGATAACAGTGGCACCCCATGTAGGGTGTGACTAAAGGACACAGTACAGATTAACTGACTCACAGCGGTCTTGAGGGAAGGGTGCCACAAGGGCCCACATCCCCCCTGAGGGGCTTACACTTATCTCTCGCCACCAATGAATACACTTTTTAAAAGATTTGGTAAATTTAATTGTTTCTTACCATAGTAAAAAAATATAGCCTACTTGTTTACCTTTTCCTGTAGCAGCAAACCTGAGTACTCGTTAAACATAATGTTTTTAAAATAGGTTTGGGAAAATCAAATCAGGCACATAAAAATTCGCTTAGTTTGCTTAGTTCTGCAGGTTTGCTGCGGCGGGGGTATTTTTATTCATACTTTCATTTATTTTTTATTAATAGCAAATAAACTAGCATACTCACTAAATCCATGCGGTGTTTGCTTCAAACAACAATATTGGCAAAATATTGAAAAGATCACCATTTTTATACATCTTTGGAAGATTTTTGTTTATTTTTAAGGTCTGTATTTCGACCAATATTTATGCTATATACTTGGAGTTGGGCTTAAACTGTCACAAATTTATCCCATTTTAATTTAATAAAGCAATGCTTGCAGTAAAACCAACCGTTTGAGAAATAGATTGAAAAACCAAGGGAATGGTCAAATTTATGCTATTTCGTTAACAAGTGGCGCGCCCCGCGGAGGTACATCGAAGTGGATAACTTGGATTTTATGTTATGGGCCCAACACTAACAACATATCCAAAAATCAAAACTACCCGACCTTTTGCATACCACAATGTCTTATTTTACTGGACTATAAGGAAAAATTGAATATTCTTTTTTAACCATGTGTTTTCTTCAATACAGGAAGATGAAGTACCTTTAACATTAGCAGTGCCCAACTTTCCAAACACTGAAAAAATCAGCCTGTTATGTCCAACACAGTGGCAAGAAAAACTACAACTGAAATTAAAAAATTATAGAGGAAAGGATGAACTAATTAATTTACTAAGCTCCTTAAAAGAAGATGGGACAAACAGTCCTAATTTAAAGGTTTGCATCTAATGCCCTGATAACAGTTATGTTAGATCTTAATATACATATCCTCTTTTAAAAAATAATCTAATAAGTAAAGATACCAGTAGTGTAGTAGTACTAGTGCGTTTTGACACTAAGCAGTCGTATTCAGGTTGTCAAATATTAGCTGGTTCAACAAAACTGTTTATTTTTTTACATATTTAGCGGCAGATCGAACCACCTATTTTACCATCAATTGTGTTATGTAAAAAACCATAGCCCCCACACTTGATCATAGGCCTACACTGTAACAAATAAAAGAATAGGTCTATAGTTCGGCCGCTTAGAAAACGACCTGCGCGCTAATGCTAAACCAATGCTGGAGGAGGTCGCTTTCTAAGCGGCCGAACTATACTTAATAATTTTATGTTAAACTATTTCCTATTAATATTTGCATATTAACAATAAACAAGGGAGGCTATTATAACAGTACATTACAAAACAGCATAGGAATTATATAATCAACTAGCTGTAACCCGCGGGCTTTGCCCCGTTTAACTTCTTAATTTTCAAGATTATCTCGTTCGCATGGCTCAATCACGTCCTGGTTGAAGTTTGTTCGCTACGCTCACTCACCTTTAGGTTGGAGCTCGTTCGCTACGCTCACTCACCTTTAGGTTGGAGCTCGTTCGCTGCGCTCACTTGCCTTCAGGTTAGCTCGTTCGCTACGCTAACTCGGTTCCAGGTTTTGGTTGCAAATTAGCTGTTGTCATAAATGTAAAAGAAATAATAGTGCTGCACCCTGTTGGTAATCCTTGTAACTTTAATGCTATTGAACATCATAGAACAGAACCAACTTGTTTAATTGAAACAGCTGTTAAGATTCAATAATTCCATTTCTCATAAGGTTAACATGGGAAACTCCAGAGCCACTGGGGCGGAGCCCGAAAGGATTTTTGAAATAAGAATATGCCTATAGTAAAATTCAACCTTTCCTGAGGCGGATTACTGGCAGAACCAGTCGACCGCACTAATAGCCTCGTCCCTTGGCCCTATTGTGTGGGCTCGGAGCTGGGCATGCGAAGGCCTGCCCCAAATTAGTCATTAACGCTGGCTCCAGTACATTTATAATTTTTTTTTTTATTTTAAGAAAAAGTTCAAACAAATCACATTGCGTAACGCATCGTGATCGCCTGATTATTTCTATATAAAATTTGAAGAAATTCGACAAATTCTATGAATAATAACCGATTAAACATATTATTTGCATTTTTCAAATAATACAAAAGTTCAGTAGGCCATTATAGGAATAAACTTTACAAGAAAATTGTTTGTTGCGAAAAACAGACTATATTATTCAACAGTTTTACGAAACAATAGGCCTACTGTACAAGTTTAGAACTTGGAGAACTTTTCTTTTCCATACTTTACGTACGGAAATTTTTATTTTTTTTATCAATAAGAATTGATGGAAGCCGGGAAATTTTAACTCAGGAAACATGGTAAGCTATAGGTGAAAACAGTAATCAACTTCTGGGATTTATGTCATGACCCTTATTCATTAGATTCTCTATTTATTGCTTACTGAACATATTTTGTAATCTAATTTTTTTTTAAATACTGTTGTGTTCTTGTTACATATATATTGTTATTATATTACAACTTTAAGAATTGGCTTAAAACTTAACTATTTTTTTATAACTCTACATTATATTGTTATTTGTATGTATTTTGAAAATCTATTTAACTATTTTGTACCAATTCTACATTATCTTGTTCTTTGTATATATTTTTACTTTCTCCCCCTATACCATAGTATATGGAGAAAGTATTGTTTTCGTCAAAATTTTCGAGTTTGAGTTTTGAGTGGATATATTCGTTTTGGGTCCCCCTGGACCCAAAAAAGTGGTTTTCGAAGTGATGTCTGTGTGTGTGTGTGTGTGTGTGTGTGTGTGTGTGTGTCTGTGTGTCTGGATGTGTACAGAGCTAGAGACTACACCTGTGGTCCGATTTCGATGAAATTTGGTATGTAGGTTCTAATCCATGGTATCTCCAGGCGTTTTTTTCATTTTTTTGAAATTTTGATTTTTAATGGGGGTTTTCCCATAAAAACCCATAAAAAACCGGGAAAATCGGATTTTCTCAAAAATGGCCCGAACGATTTTGATAAAAATTTAGTATGTTGTAGCCCTTTAAATTCTGAACAAAATAGTACAAATCCCATTTCTGTAAAAATTACGGTTCAAAAGTTATTGTAAATTATGTTATTTTCCTATAAAACCCCATAAAATAACGAAAAATAGGATTTTAGACAAAAATCCGGTTTTTATTTGACATAGTATGTTATGGTCCTTACAATTTTGATAGTTTTTTTTCATTTTTTAGAAATTTTTATTTTTAATGGGTATTTTCCCATAAAACCCCATAAAATAACGGAAAAATAAGATTTTCCCAAAAATGGTCTGAACGATTTTGATAAAAATTTAGTATGTTATAGTCCTTTATATTCTGAACAAAATGGTACAAATCCCATCTCTGTAAAAATAACGGTTCAAAAGTTATTGTAAATTATGTTATTTTCCCATAAAAACCCCATAAAATAACGGAAAATCACATTTTCCCAAAATTGGCTCGAACGTTTTTTTATAAAAATTTAGTATCTTATAGTCCTTTAAATTCTGAAGAAAATTGTACAAATTCCATTTCCCCATTTACTCTTACACATGATAAAGGTTGTTGACAAACTTATGGGAGAAAGTATGTGTCAGAATGCTGATACCGTTTATTTTAATTTAATACTGTATTCATTAGATTCCCTATTTATTGTTTACTAACCTTAAAATATTTTATTTAATATTTTACACTCTTATTATAATTTCGCCAAACATAATATTATTATGTAATTACTTGCTGTTACTTTTCATAGCTTAAAAATTGTTTGTGTAGTTAAATAATTTGTGCCAATTCCACCTTAACTTGTCCTTTGTATATATTTTCTTAATCTAAAATTCATTCCATTCGCTTTTTACTGTTTACTAAGTTTAAAATATTCGATTTGACACTATATGACCTTATTATTATTTAACCGAACCTATTTAGCCTATTGATGTTTATTTACATACATATTATGTAATTAATTGCCGTTCATTTTTATAACTTAGGAATTGTTTAACAACTCAACTATTTTGTAATAATTCAGAATTATATTGTTCTTTGTATGTACTTTGTTTTAAAAATGCAATTAAACTGTTTCGTACTGAAAATGAAAATGTGAATATTATTTTAAATAACCCTTTAAAATAACTTTACCTAAGTAATTATTATAAACTTCTAGTATGTTTAAATCTGTTAGTATTCATAGAATTTGTTGAATTTCTTCAAATTTTATATAGAAATAATCAGGCGATCACGATGCGTTACGCAATGTGATTTGCTTGAACTTTTTTCTTAAAATAAAAAAAAAATTATAAATGTACTGGAGCCAGCGTTAATGACTAATTTGGGGCAGGCCTTCGCATGCCCAGCTCCGAGCCCACACAATAGGGCCAAGGGACGAGGCTATTAGTGCGGTCGACTGGTTCTGCCAGTAATCCGCCTCAGGAAAGGTTGAATTTTACTTTATATGTTAATCGGGAATGTGAGCTATCATCATGCCAAATTTCAGCCCAATCCGACCAGTATTTTTCGAGTTTACTTTTCCCATACACACATACCACACATACAGCAACCACCTCTTTTTTATAATAGTACTAGCAGAGTACCCGTCCTTCGTACGGGGTTGGCATACAAGTATCAAATGCTTATAGCAGTTATGAGTGAGGACATGGTTTAAGAAATTTCGGTTCTTTTTGAAGTTCGTTCGCTACGCTCACTCACCTTTAGGTTGGAGCTCGTTCGCTGCGCTCACTTTCCTTCAGGTTAGCTCGTTCGCTACGCTCACTTGCCTTCAGGTTAGCTCGTTCGCTACGCTCACTCGCCTCCAGGTTGAAGTTCGTTCGCTACGCTCACTCACCTTTTGGTTGCAAATTAGCTGTTGTCATAAATGTAAAAGAAATAATGCTAGTGCTGCACCCTGTTGGTAATCCTTGTAACTTTAATGCTATTGAAAATCATAGAACAGAACCAACTTGTTTAATTGAAACAGCTGTTAAGATTCATTAATTCCATTTCTCATAAGGTTAACATGGGAACCTTTGCTCCAGAGCCACTGGGGCGGAGCCCGGAAGGATTTTTGGGATAAAAATATGCCTATATGTTAATCGGGAATATGAGCTATCATCATGCCGAATTTCAGCCCGATCCGACCAGTAGTTTTCGCGTTTACTTTTCCCATACACACAGACACCACCTCTTTTTTATAATAGTATAGATAGATATAGATAGATAACAACATATCTTTCATTTGCATAAAAATAAAGACGGGATCTTGGGCACGAGTCTTTCACCAGGAACAGCTGTTATCTAGAAGTTATTTGTCAAAATGTAACAAATGGATGGTGCTGCCACCTAGCAAAGGTCCATAGTACTAACATTTAAAGTTTCCAGATGCATAGCGCTAGTACTCTCGTTTATAGCGGCTTCATTGGCAACAAATAATGCAAATTGCATAGCAATGGGACATTTCCAAAAAGCAAAAATACCGTAAATTGGCTGTTGTACGTATATATTGACGTTTACATATTGTTAATCAACGTCTTATAAAGGATTTTGTGATCTAGTTTAAAAGGAAGGAGTTTAAAATGAGGTCCCGGGTACTATCCCCACCAAGTCACCAATGGATTTTATCTAAGTGATAATGCCGCAACCCCTAGGTCTAGCCTTAAGTAATGTGAAAAACAATCCCAGGCTTGTGCCTAGCGTCCTAGGACAAAAAAAAAGTTTAACAGGAATATGACCTTTCTGTCATGACAGTAGCTGCTTAAATAGTATTTTCTCTTTGTACTATATTTTACAGCCAAAACTTAAGTTTCGTAGTGGAACGTTATATTGCAAAACATGACATTATAAAGAAGAAAATCAATTTTAAAATCAGAAAAGAACATTACAAATACTTATTTGGTAGAATTCAGTAACTCCCAATAAATGTGTGTTGTTTGAAATACATTTAAAAAATGAACAGCTGTTTCATTAAAAAGTATTATCATAGATAAAACATACTCCCTTAGTAGATTTCTCATCCTAATGGAACAGCTGAAGACAATTTTATTGTTAGTTCTGTACGGTTTATGTAGAGGTCGTGTTTTGTTTAAAATTTGTTTCCTGTTAATACAGTCATTTAAAACCTCGTTTAACCAAATAATACGATCTAATCATAAACGATAAATTGTCCCCTAGTTATTTAACCAAACAGTAAAGCACAAATCAAGAAATTAACCCTAAAATAATAGAAACAAAATTTCGTCGACACTAGCGCCCAGTGTGGCGTACATGAACTAGCCATGAAAAACGAGCTTCAACATTTACAATGGGATGAGAAGTCTACTTGTGTTGGTTACTCTATGGTATTATTCACATGGCCAAAATGTAAACAACTCTGTGGAGGGATCTTTAAAGGCTTCTGGGGCAGAGTCCTAAGGGATTTTGCTTAGTTTTTCTTTTGATAACTCATCTACAGACCAAGACCTTTCTTTGGACACCTCTACCAAGTTTCTAGGCCCAGCCTTTCTCTCAAATTAGTGGGGACAAAGTTTCCAATTAAATATTTAGATTCCCCCATGTTAATCTTATGGGAGAAACTCCAACTTTGATGGCCTGCGGGGCAAAGCCCAAGGGTTTTTATTACATGAATTGGTGAAAGGGTGCGTATACACAAAAAATACTTTATTTTGACACGTCGTTTATAAAAATCCGTCCATTATTAACGGAGGAGTAGTGTTTCGTAGAAATCACCTTCACGTATCTATAAGTATAAAAGAGGATGTTTGTATATATATATATTTGTTTGGCAGTGATAAACTCAGACACCGCTGAACCGATTGCCACGAAACTTGGTACATACGTGTAGAATTTCATGGAATAGGTTTATACACCATCAATTTCGTGATCCGTCCAATCGGCTCCGCCCCAGTGGCTCTGGAGTTTCCCATGTTAACCTTATGAGAAATGGAATTAATGAATCTTAACAGCTGTTTTAATTAAACAAGTTGGTTCTGTTCTATGATGTTCAATAGCATTAAAGTTACAAGGATTACCAACAGGGTGCAGCACTATTATTTCTTTTACATTTATGACAACACAGCTAATTTGCAACCAAAAGGTGAGTGAGCGTAGCAAACGAACTTCAACCTGGAGGCGAGTTAGCGTAGCGAACGAGCTAACCTGAAGGCAAGTGAGTGCAGCGAACGAGCTCCAACCTAAAGGTGAGTGAGCGTAGTGAACGAGCTGCAACCTAAAGGTGAGTGAGCGTAGCGAACGAGCTGCAACCTAAAGGTGAGTGAGCGTAGCGAACGAACTTCAACCAGGACGTGATTGAGCCATGCGAACGAGATCATCTTGAAAATTAAGAAGTTAAACGGGGCAAAGCCCGCGGGTTACAGCTAGTTATATTTATAAGGATTAAGAGTAGTAATTTGAGACGGGTCGATTATATCGGTAAAACAAATAATCAATTTGTATACTAAACTAAATAAATAGGTAAACATTATTGAGTGAATTCGGCGGTTGGTAAACTTTATTTTTCCGTCGGGATTCGGAAAATCAATACGCGTGAGCACTTGGCTTCGAAACCAATCAGAGAGCAGATGCTCGGGGTTTGAGACTAGATCCGGAGGCGTGGTTAGAGGATAGCGAAGGCAGGTCAGTCAGCAAGCAGACACCATAGTGAACTGACACATTATCTTGTGCAAGAGTTAGTTATAAATTGCCTTTAGTCGTAGGACTGATCCGAATATACTTCAAAATATCCTCTAACATCGAATTATATTGTATACAACCAGTGAAGTTGCGTCGGAATTCTACAAACAAGTCTTATAAACAGTGGCGGCGATAAGACCCCGTAGGCTCCCCCGCAAGTTTGTTCACCGGCCCCCCTATCCCAATAATCATTAAAAACATTATCACAAGCATTTCCACATGAACTTGCACTTTTGCTTGGCATGGCATCTCCTCAGGCGTCATCATTGTCTTCCATGATCGGGGCAAAATCGTGAATACTTTCCGTGGTCATGGAACCATTATCATAGTCTACCGTGATTGCAACAAAACCTATAGGACATCATCAGATAACAACATCATCATCTCCAGGGTTCGTGACCCAATCCCTAATATCTCCCGCGGTTACGGAAACATAATTTTTTTCCGCAATTACGGCAAAATCGTAGATGTGAAAAAAACCGTCATCATCGTCTTCTGCTGTTGCGACAAAATCTTGAATATCTCATACGGTTACGGAAACAGAAGTCGTCTTCCACTATCGCAGCAAAATCCTGAACATCTCCTGCGGTCGTGTGGACATCATTATCGTCTTCCGCAATAGCGGCAAAATATTGAACATCTCCAACGGCTGCGTAACATCGTCATCCGTCATTGTCACCCGCGGAAAAGGCAAAAGCGTTAATATTATAACCTTGCAAGCTTCTTTGAATTCTCAAGCTTGTATCAAGAGTTTCCAAAGTAAAATGGGTCCCGGTAAAACTTCCCAAAAAATCCAGGTCAAGGTTCGCGGGCCCCCCTAGTTCAAGGTCCCTCCTGCACTGTGGGCCAGCTAGTGCCGCCACTGCATATAAGCAAAGGATAACTTAGTATGTTGGTGACTGTGAACACAAGTCTTTGTGCGTAAAAAAATGGCAATGGCGGTTCCTCCTTCAAGAGGTTCAAGAGTTATTGTAACTTGTGTTATTTTCCCATAAAATAACGGAAAAATGGATTTTTGAGATAAAGCCCGTTTGATTAAAATTAATATGTTATGGTCCTTATTCTAAACAAAATGGTGCAACCCCCCATTGCTGTATAAATTACAGTTCAAAAGTTATTGCAACTTTTGAAAGTATGTGTCAGATTGGTGATAATGTTTATTTATACTTTAAATTGAAATGTCAACCATACGAAAGTAGGTATTTTAAGCCTTGTTTAATGTAAAAGGAAAACTCTGTAAATATTACATTGCAACAGGTTGGTCTGGACAGTGCTGTGATGGTGGAGGTGTATGCTAGAGTGTTGACAGAGCTTCGGCAGGTAGGCAGTAAGGCTGTTGTAGACTGCAGTGCAGACCTCAGTAGAGTCACCCTGCATGTGACAGACACACGAGGGGTAGACCATCAGCTTATAGTGGGACTCTCAGTTGACTACCCTACCTCCCCAGCCACTGTGGTGGACGCAGACCTGCCTGATGTTGTCTTGGGTCAGCTCTTTCAGGTAAACATCCTTAAATCATGTATATAATTATCTACATAATTAAGTAGAATGTCGGACCATCAATATCTGGATCTTGTCTCCAACAAGAAATCGACAAATTTGGTACCATATATTAAATAAATTAAGAACTAAGCTAAAAAAAAACCGCTATACTACAGTTCAAAGGCCTATCATAAATTTTGTTTGAAGCTCAAATAGGCCTTTGATATTTTATAAATTTAATATTTAATAATTTATAAATAAAAAACTTGTTTAAAACAAAACGTTTTTCAACGCACTAAAAAGTAGAAAATAGTTTATAAATATGTGGAGAGTATAAATACTTGTAAGATTTAAAACGAAAAACGTGGGGTGCATGCAATAGATAATTTACAATTAACTTCACCTATTGAACTAATGTATTACTAGTAAACACGTTGCTCAAAATCGAGCAATTGCAAAGAAAGTAAAGTAGTTATTTGAAAACAAATAAAAGTAATCATAATTTCTGATGAGTTTAAAAGACTCAACTCGTAGATTACGTACCTAACAGTCCCATATAATCAACATTTCTTGTAAATATTTGATGATTTTTCAAATCTGATCTGGGTTTATTTTAATGTTTCCCACTTATATCCGTATTAGGTTGTCCGTGTTGATCTTCGTCAATGATAATGTCAGTCTGCATGGTATTACCCATTGTCGCCAGTACGTTTTTTTTTTCAGTCAATTTTTTATAGCGATAACATTTTGTTTATGTTCTGTATGTAATTAGAACAAATTAAATGTATTCATCAAAGTACAGTTTTAACCAACTTTATTCAGCACAAATTAAAAACAAAGTGAAGAAGTAAACATTATAACCAGCTGGTAATAGTTATAAAATAAATAATCAATAAGTAAAGATAGACATTTAGGATTTAACACTTCCCCTTCTTAAGTGAGCTTCATAAATTGAGTCTATCCACGGGTTTATGTGTCCTTTTTGAACGTCTCACTGTAATAGCGGGAGTTGGTGCCACTGGAACATCTGATATGTTGTGATCGTTGGCCTCTGGAACATCTGGTATATTGTGATCATTTGTTATGTGATTTTCGGTTGGTATGTTGTGATCATTTGTTGCGTGGTTTTCGGTTGGTTCCTCTCTGACTCCTCCAAAATGGACTCCTCCAAAATTTGTTGGTATGAATACTTGATTTTGCTCATTCCTTAATGAAAACTCACACAAGTTTCGCCCTGAACGTCTAATTTGGTCTTGATGACGTCTGATTGTGCCACTGCTTGTGGATATTTCATAATTTCTTGGTCCTTCTTTTCTATTGATCTTTCCAAAACCCCTTTTGCAGGTCCCATAGAGGCGGTAAGCAACAGGGTCTTGAGCTTTAAATGATTTTTGCCTGTCAAAATATGATTTTGAGTCAAAATTTTGGTTCATTTTTTGTGACAAATCAGGATACAATAAGTAAAGTCTTGATCGAATTTGACGTCCAATGAAGAGATGTGAAGGAGACTGTCCTGTAGTACTATGTGGAGCTCTTCGATAGGCCATTAAATATCTCTGTAATTTCAACTCAATTGAGCCTTCCTCAAAGTGCATGGCTCTGATACTTCATTTGGTTTAGGTGTAAAATGTGAATTAAGAGTTTGAATTAATTCAGCATAGGATTTAGTTATAGGTGATACAGGATGCAATATATCCCTAAGTTTACTACTGATGGTACCATTAGTCTGTGCTCGTAGTTGTAACAGCTGTCGTGTGGATGCGGGGAGGTGAGGGGGCTCTTTTCTAAAAACATTAGTCAGTTTTGCTGTCACATAAAATCGCTGTCAGTGTTTATTTGTTTGTTTACCTTTTTACTTGTAAACAGTTCAATGTTTTGTTTGTGATATTCTTAACCTTTTTTCACGTTTCGTTTTTTTTCTTAATTTAATATACACACACATTTTTTCTAATTTTGTACCTTTCATTATCATTATTAGGTGTACAATTTGAGAATCCTTCTAATTATGTTACAAGATGAACATAATAACATAGCATAACAACAACATAATTTAAACAAAAAATCGGAACCTCAAGTCGCAATTGGAAGGCCAAGTTAATAAAGGTGACTATCCTTCTTAGGGATTAGAAGAATGTGACTGCTCCCACCGAGGGAAAACGTGTGAAAACAAACAAAATACCCATAAAATTGCTGAAAAAGACAAAGATTTCACGTCAGTTCTAAACTACACCACAAAAAGGTATGACCTAAGGGCCTAAATTAGTATTTGACGTCAAAATACTGAAATATGAGAAATGTGAAAGAATGAGAATATGTGAGTTGGATCACTTCATGCTGATCGCTCATTTGCTGAAGTAAAGTGATAAGAAGATCGGGATCTTGGATTAGAGGAGAAAATAAGAACACGAGAACGATTTATTTATTAACCACGACCATTCATAGGCCTACTGTCTCGTTGAAATGTGGAGTTCTATCGCTTATGGGTTACTCGTTGACGAGAACGGTTGTAAAATGAGTGGACTTTCCTAATTTACTGATTGTTGCTAAATTTATAACCTTTGTTGTTTGGTTATTTTCACAAGGTCTTAGTATAAATATGTTTGTATACTTAATTAAAGTCTATAATCATCTTATTAACTGGATGCTTTATTAATTCATTTACCCATATCCAAATGTAACTGAAGGATTATTTTTTGTTCAGATTTCAAAAATATAAACCACTTTGACAAATCTTGTAAAATTGACGACTACTAAAAGACTTCTTTAAGCTAATGACTGATTTTTATCTAACCGTGGCTGTATTATCATAAGCATATAATATCAAACTGAAAATAAATATAAAACACCAGTAAAAGCAAATGTAGGCCTAAATAGTTGAATGATAAAAGTTGATTAACAAATTTTAGTTTATTAACTATTTACAAGGTAAGGCCTGTATATATTTTAAACGAGGTCTTCAATGTCACTCATATCATCGTCTTCTTCGTCACTGCTGTCGCTGTTTCCTACTGATATGACCATTGATTCCACGAGGTCGTCAATCCGCGGCTCAGCTGAAGCATAATTATTTTCAATAGTTTTTACATGGTCGCACTTGTTTTTCCACTCTGTTGCACCAATGATATCAAATTTTTCCTGTGCCAATGAACGGATGCTCTCGAAGCTACAATTTACGTTACTGCTAGCTACGTAACCTTTTACTTCAGCCCAAATAAGTTCTATTGGGTTTAGATCTGGGTGGTAGGGGGGGAGACGAAGAATAACATGGTCAGTACCCGTGAGTAGTTCATCAATTTCATATCGAATGAATCTTGGTTTGTTCAGCAGTACAAGCTTATACAACTCGGGAACCAGCATTTCGTTTGAATATTGTATTCCATGTTTGGTTAGCCAGTCCTTCATTTCTTGTTTCCTACTATTTGATGTGGGTGCTTTGTCTAATTGCGCATTGTGATAAGGTGCGTTATCTACAACTATCACGGACTTCGGTGGTATGTTCGGCAGAAGTTTCTCTTTCATCCACTTGATCATGGTTTCCTTCCTGACATTGTCGTGATAATCACCCGTGGTGCTCGATGCCTTCCACATCGTCAATGCGTTAGGGACAAAACCAGCTTCACTTCCTGCATGAATCATTATTAGGCGTTGTCCTTTAGAAATGGGTACACGCATTCCCTTGGTTGAGTTGTCAGACCACGATAGACTTGAAACATGGCTTGTTAAAATATATGATTCGTCCATGAAAATAATAGTACGACCCTCATTTCTGAAACGTTTGACTGCTCTCAAATAAGAAATTCTCTTTTCCCGGATTTCGTTTGTCTCAATCAGCATTTTTCGGTTGTTCTGCGTTTTCCTCCATCTGAATCCAAGCTCCTTCAGAATTCTCCTAAGGCTTGATTTTGATCCTTTGAAATCTATCTGTTTTTTTAGTTCCTCGTGTAGTAAAGAAACTGTTGGTAGTATTTTATGTTGAATGTGGAACTCATACACCAAGCGTCTTATCAAAGCCTTATCAAAATCATCCACTCCAGTGACGGGCCTTTTTCTGCTTTCTTTTAACTTACTAGGAGTACAAAAACTTTTGTTGCTATCATCGTCATCATGTATTAGTAGTGCTTTAAGTTCGCCATTAATCTTCGTTATGACTCGCTCCGAGACCCCGATTGCCACTGCTGTTCGGGCGCGAGCTTTTGCCAAGGGAATGCTTACAGCTTTATCGTCAGCCTCTTTTTTCATAAACTGGTAAACATTGCTTACTATTTCCCGACTCTGTCCGTTCAGCGTCCTACCCTTCAACTTACTTTTCACTCTGTCACACATAATTCTATGTATGCCGAATACGTTAAAACACAGTATTAAACAAAAACACAGTTAAACTAAACTAATCTTTCCGTTAAACACACTCTGCTATAATAATATTTAGAAAAGAATATAAATATTTACTTTTTTCAATCATGTGATTCAATTAGAAATTCGATTATTCCAGCTAGAAATTTTATAGACGACTATTGGTGTGAGTGAGACCATAATGGAGTGAGTGAGCCCAAGTTTTATGGAATGGCTAGTAGCGTCAGATCCGCGCGCACGGACTAATGACACTGTCTGTATATGTGTCTGATCCAATACAGTGAAGTAACGTAATTTTCTTTTTATCTTCAGAAATGTTGTTATAAATAAATGATATCTCTAGTCTTTCCATATACATTTCCCAAGTTTCACATCTTTCATTAAAAGGTCCAATCAATGCTGAGTTAATCATTTGAATGTTTTGAGAGGTATTTGAATTACTTGTACTCACCTCCATCGTCGCCAAATTGTTCTGTATGTAATTAGAACAAATTAAATGTATTCATCAAAGTACAGTTTTAACCAACTTTATTCAGCACAAATTAAAAACAAAGTGAAGAAGTAAACATTATAACCAGCTGGTAATAGTTATAAAATAAATAATCAATAAGTAAAGATAGACATTTAGGATGTAACAGTTTACATGACTAAGAATTACCTGATTTTAT